GGTAACCTGCTGTGACTTCGTTAGAAGTGACGTCACCAGCAAGGAGTTGCCAAGGAGCTGCTTCTGGAGAGCAACACAGCAGTAATGGCCATGGTCCACAGGATGACAGGGGATTGGTTTCATGCACTGACTGCCCAGCTGATCATCCGAACAGCAAAATGACTTTGAGGTACTCCTGCGGTGTCTCCAGAGCAACTAAAGTGGACTACCACAAGGAACTGCATCTGGTGTAGATGCAGCCTTGGATACCTACTGATAAAAAATAGAGAGGTTATAGATGGAACTTGACCTATGACCTATGTATGCAACATAGATCATTTTGTCAGTAGTGAATAGGGAGGCAAAGAGGAGAATGTGTACTTGTGGTGCATACAAATGTTGTGCATATGACATTAAAATTATTTCTGATTAAGAAATCTCCATTCTTGATTCATTGACATTGAAAAATCAGATCTTACAAAGAACATAAAGAAGAGCACTTTGGCCCTATACAGAGGAGGAAATGTGTGTGGTTTTCATGAAAGTGTTGACCATAGATTTGAATAGTTAAGGTAGACACTGACAAAACCACTCTGACTAATCTTTGTCTAAGAAAACTCTATGAGACTCATCACCATGAATTAACAGGTGAAGGTAGGCACACATATACACAGTACAAAGTGTTCCTCCATTTTAATCCCTACCATGTATCACAATATCATCCAATATGTGGTATTGAAGCTTGGTACACTTCCCAGTGGGTGGAATAACCCTTTCTTAAATATTATGTCATTTTACCCATATTTTAAATACTGGATTTATTGTGGTCACTGAAAGGGATAGTAATTATGATTTTGAAAAATAAATAAATATTAATGAATATGTAGAAATGTTCTGTCCTCGCTGATCTAAAGAGAACATTGTCTGAAATGGTGGGAAGAGAATCGGACTGACATCAGCTTACTCCCAAGCAACTGCTTTGCTTATTCCAAAATGAATAAGAAAACTACATGTTATATACTTAAGGAAGAAAATCAGAGAAAGCCTTGTTGGAATGACCTCATGGTTAAAAGTCTCAAGCTATAGATCAAAGGATTCAGCATGGGAGGGAAAACAGAATACATTATAGTAAATAGTAGTTCCAAAGGGGTGGATGTTCCTGAAGTGGGCCTTAGGTGAGCCAGACTTACAGTCAATGAAAATATGGAGACAACAATGAGATGAGGTATACAAGTAGAAAAGGCCTTTTTCTTCCCCTGAACAGAAGGAATTTTCAGAACAACAGTGAAAATTTGCACATAGGTTACAATTATGAAGATAAAACAGCCAGACTAGACCATCAAACCAAACCATACAGCTCCCATTTCAATGTGGTATAAGTCAGAGCAGGCAAGCTTCAGTAATTGCGGGATTTCACAGAAAAACTGATCGACAACATTAGAGCAGAAAGGGGTTATAAAGGTTCCAGCAGTGTGTACTACAGCATTGAGAAAACCAGCAACCCATGCACTAACCACCACTTGCATACAGCTTTTTCTGTTCATTATTGTTTCATATTGTAATGGATTGCAAATAGCAACATACCGATCATATGCCATGACTATAAGGAGGGAAACATCATATCCTGCAAAAAAGGCAAACAAAAACACTTGAGCCACACATCCTGAGTAAGAAATGCGTCGGTCATCTATGAAGGAACTGATGATGTATTTGGGTATAGTCACTGAAACAGAGCCAAGGTCCTGAATGGCCAAGTTCATCAGAAAGAAATACAAAGGTCTATGGAGATGATGATCCAGAGCAACTGCAAGTATTATGAGAAAATTCCCCATCACAGTTGTAAGGTTAAAAAAAACAGAAATAAGATGAAGTGTAGAATCCATATTTCCCAAATTGGTGAGAATTCTAGGATCAAAAATTCAGAGATAAAAGAATGATTATCCATTTTAACTCATTAACTATGTCACCTGCAATGAAAAAAAGGAGAGAAGAGTTACAATATGACTCATTGTATTCCCCCTTGGAGACATTTAAAACATACCTCTCTTGATTTTCTTTTTACAAATGCTATATTAAGGCAAGAAGTGAACTTTCAAAACCACTGTCATATTATATGATAATTTTGCTCTTGTTCCCTAGGTGCTCCATCATATTCACAGTAATATATAACACCATGCCTCCATGTTTGTTTTATAGATGAGTTGACATCATTGATATTAATGACCAATTGTGCTTAATGACGGATGCTTTAGTCTAGCACAAATAAGTTCAATTTGCATTAGGCCAGTGTTTTAGAATTAAGGTTCGGTAAAACATTTCATTCATGTTGTAGAAACCAGTATAGTCATCTTCTAAAAGAAAAAAATGGTCTTAATCCAACTGAGAAATTGAGGCCCCTTCTACACAGCTGAATAAAATCCCACATTTTCTGCTTTGAATTGGAATATATGGCAGCGTAGACTCGGATAGCCCATTTCAAAGCAGATATTGCTTTTATATTCTGGGTTATATGACTGAATTGAAGGGCCCTCTGTCACTATGTGTTTTTGCTTTCTACTAATCATTCTAAGGTTCTGCTATATGCTCCAGCTAGCTTGTAATAAGAATTAGTTCCCCATTGAGAAATGCATGCGCATGCTGTTATGTTGCTAAGTAAGGTTGTTAGCAAAGTAACTGACACACGTTGAAACAGATACATAATAGAACTGATACACAATGGGATCAATGAGCATTTGGGGTCATTGTAAAACAGGACATCAGCTCAGAAGTGTCAATGTTTATCAGCAGACTCTGATGCACATCGGAAAAGACTAACTGGACTCTTATTTCACTTCTTCACAATTTATTAACAAAGTTTCTTAGCACTTCTGTGTACCAAGTGTACATAGCATTATGTGATGTAAACAGTGATAGATTGCTATATAAATTTTTATTATCCTTTATTATCCTTTCAAAGGGAAAAATGGAGTTGTGAAGGGTAAGTTAATAGAATACATGTTGGCAAATACAGGAGAGGTGGAAATTAAGATGCAGCTCATTAACAAAACCTGACACAACAGTTTATAAGTTGACTAAAAACTGTTAATAGGATAGTATGTGTTAGACTTTTGATATTCTGAAGTAGCAAGTGTAACAACACTTTTATTTCATCTGGAAATAATCCAGGTTGGTGAACACAAATTTAAAACATCAGAAGGAATAATTTTGAAGATTGTAATAGCAAAGTTTAGCTCCAGGCAGAGATTGGCAAAAACAAATGAAAAGGATAAACTGAAAATGGCCAAGTACAGAAAGACAGGTTAAAGCTATGTTGTTTCATACAGTTTGGTAATGTATGGCACCAGATCCTATCTGATCTTGGAAGCTACTCAAAGTTGAGCCTGGATGGGAAACTGCCAATAAATATTGATGTTGCAGGCTATATTTTAGAGGACAGGTTTGGCAAAACCTCTCTGCATATTCCTCGCCTAAGAAAAATTTGTAATATTCATGGGGTTGCCTTATATGGCTGGGGAAACTGAAAACACAGACACACTGCCCAAAGGATTTCTGTCTTTTCACCACTTGCTTACATTATAACACAACTCAATTTGTGGTTTAGTTAAGGTCACTGTGAATAGAAAACATCTTTCTTAAACATGATCACATTATACCGATTCATGTTTGTAGCACTATTATGGCAATTAAAGGGCAGAATAATAATTATTTTGATTTTTTATGAATAAGTATAAATGTTCTGTCCTTACTGATTTGTGGAGAACAGTGACTAAAAAGCTAGAAGGGGAATCAGTATTTCCTGTGCTGCTTATTCCCAACCAATCTCTTTGCTTGCCTCAAAAACAACAGGTAAAAAATCCACATGGGATGCTTTTTATTTTTTTAATATAATTTTTTATTTACATACATTAAGAGCTTACAGTGTAAACAGAAGACAAAACAATTAACATTTTACAAACACATAACTCTACCACCAAGGCCTGAACAAATATTTTCTGTGCAATAAATTTCTGAGTCAATAAGTAAACAATAGGCCTGGGTAACAACGGAAAAATTTGTTTCTAAAATCGATTTGTATTTGGGTTTTTTTTTGTTTCGATATTTAAAATAATTACAAAATTTTCCTTTTAAAAAGTTCGATATTTACGAAATTTCGTAAATGTGAAAAAATTACAAAACATTAACGAATCGATTTCCGAAACAATAACGAATCGATTCGTTAATGGCGGACGCGACCGTGAAATACGCTAAAAAACCTCCAAAAACTTCTGAAGCTTCCCTCTCCCTCTGTTGTTGACTGTTGGTGTGATATTATAATTTTTTTTCACTAATTAAACAAAAAACTTGCCCCAAACATGCGGAAATAATAACGAAACGACCTCAGAACAATAACGAAACGAATACAATAACGAAATACGAAGCATTTACAAAACGTGTTTAAAAATTCGTTTTTTAAAAAAATTGCTCCAGAATGGTTCGTTATCGTTTTGTAATTGAAAAAATAACGAATTATTAACGAATTACGAATTAACGAAACGAAACCGCCCAGCCCTAGTAAACAAATATCATATCCAAAATTCCTGACCAACAAGATTGCATTGTTTTCCCTTATCACTCTCTAAAATATATTTAATGAAAACCTACCAATATGAATCAAATTCTGATCTTTTAATTTCCCCCTGAACACCCTCATTTCCATTGATAGTTTGACATCAAGCTATCTTCCATACCTCCCTGTACCATGTTTCCAGAGTAAGTTTGGTTACTGTCTTCCAATTCCTTGTGATGATCTTTTCCCTATAATTATAAGTCCTATAATGTTCCCCATTTCCTTATATATATTTTTCCAGAAACTCTTCAGCATGGGGCATTCCCACCATAAATGAAATTGTGTCCCTTTGTACATACCACATCTCCAGCAATAGTTACTTTGCTTTTTATCCATCTGATGTAATTTAACCAGTGTTGTATACCATCTCCATATAACTTTAAACACATTTTCTTTTAATTTTGTTGACCGATTCTTAACCACTCTCCTCTTTAGAACATTGTGTTCTAAATTGTTCTAAAAATAAAGTGTTTTTGGAAGATGGTCTCATTGCCAAAAGTCTTGAAAGGGCAAGCTTGATCTCCTTGTTTCTCAGGCTGTAGATCAAAGGATTCAGCATGGGTGGGAGTACAGAATACATTACAGTAACCAGGAGTTCCAGTGAAGAAGAAGTGCTGGAACTGGGTCTTAGGTAAGCAAGGCATACAGTCAATGAAAACATGGAGACAACAGTGAGATGGGGTATACAAGTAGTAAGGGCCTTTTTCCTCCCCAGAGCCGAAGGAATTTTTGAAACAGCTATGAAGATTTGTACATAAGTTACAATAATAAAGATAAAACAGCCAAACCAAACTATTATACTAAACAAAACAGCTCCCATTTCAATTTGATAAGAGTCAGTGCAGGCAAGTCTAAGTAACTGTGGTATTTCACAGAAAAATTGACTGACAACATTAGAGCAAAAAGTGGTTGCAAATGTTCCACAAGTGTGTAATACAGCATTAAGAAAAGTAGCAAACCATGCACTAACTGCCATTTGAGCGCAGGCTTTCCTGTTCATTATTGTTTCATATCGCAATGGATTGCAAATAGCAATGTATCGATCATATGCCATGACTGTAAGTAAGGCAACATCAGATGCTGTAAAGAAGACAAAAAAGAGTACCTGAGCCACACATCCTGAGTAAGAAATACGTCTGTCATTCTTGATGGAACTGATAATATATTTGGGGAGAATAACTGAAACAGAGCCTAGGTCCTGAATGGCAAGGTTCAGCAGAAAGAAGTACAAGGGGCTATGAAGATGATGGTCCAAAACTATAGCAGCAATTATGAGAATATTCCCTGCTGCAGTTGTAAGATATAAGATGAGAAAAAGAATGAAGTGTAGAATCTGCAGTTCCCAGGTTGCTGAGAATTCAAGGAGCAGAAATTCAGAAACAGAAGATTGATTATTCATTTTTCACTCATTAATTATGCTTTCTGGTGGAGAAAAAGAAAAGAAAAATTTAAAATATAACTCACTGAATTCCACTTTTAGAGGTTTGAAATACAAGTCAGAAATGCTCCATCAAATGCTATATTTAAGGCAGGAATTGAACTTTCATAACAAATATTACATGATGATGTGATAACTTTGCTCTTCATTCTTGTGGGTTTTTTCAGGCTATATGGCCATGTTCTAGAGGCATTTCTCCTGACGTTTCGCCTGCATCTATGGCAAGCATCCTCAGAGGACCTCACCTCTGAGGATGCTTGCCATAGATGCAGGCGAAACGTCAGGAGAAATGCCTCTAGAACATGGCCATATAGCCCGAAAAAACTCACAAGAACTGAGTGATTCCGGCCATGAAAGCCTTCGACAATACATTGAACTTTGCTCTTGTTCTGGAAAGACTGCATCATATCCAGCATACCTTCATTTCTGGTTTACAAATGGGTTGTTTTTCACTGAAATTCCCAACCAACTACACTTTATGGCTAAATGGTTTACCCACTCAGCCCTAATTTGTTCAAGTTGCATTACAGTGATATTTTATAATTAAGGCGCAATAAAACATTACCTTCACTTTCTCTTTTTTATGCACATGAATACACACTATCTTTTTATCATACTACTTTTTCTATATATTTTCTTAGTACTGAATGGTGATCTAAGGCTGAATAATAATTTATTAACATATACACACAGCTATCCCCAACAAAAGACATATAATCTCAATCCACCAAAAAGCTCACATTCTTTTAGAACTGAGAGATAAACCTTATCTGTGCCAATTTATTGACAGAAAGCTTGATTTCAGGTTCTTTGCCTCATATTTTGAGGCACTCAAAAAAACCTCACATCAATACTAAAATATCTGTAAAATGTAAGTGATTCTAAGGAACCAAAATTACTATATTGAAGATTTAAAGTATTGTTTTGCCAAGCCTTTCTCAGGGAGAGTAAAACATTCAAGAAGTCATCTAGACTTATTTAACCTGGTGGATTTTAAAAAGCTACCCAGTAGGCTTCCCTGGCCCTTTAACACTCTAGCTGGAGGTCAGCTGTGACCAGCAGTGCTGTAGAATTTGAAGAGGCACGAATGGAGGGCGAAAGAGAGAAACGTGCCAAGAGGAAAGCGCATCAAGCCAACCCCGACAGGGGCCACCTTCCACCTGGAAACCGATCCCCTCACTGTGAGAGAACATGCAGGTCAAGAACAGGGCTCCACAGTGACTTACGTACCCACCACCAGGACACTGCACTTGGAGGACAATCTTACTCGGACAATGGGGGATCGCGTAAGAGAAGAGAAAAAGTGCAAGTCTTACCAATGAAAGTGTAGATCTGACTATCATTTTAGAGTGCCTGATTTGCTTATGTTAGTGTTTAACCTTCACTTTAGCAAACAGTCCCTTTATCTTACAATTCATAAAAGCAATCGGAGGAAGAGCTGTGAAGAAAGCTTCATCATCTGATTTACTTTTGCTATAGGTCAATTTATGTTAGTCTGTCATGCTACATGTAAACATGTCACTCAAAACAGCCATAAATACAATTTTAAAAGACATAGGTATTAACGAGTTTTAAATTGAAAGTAATTACAATAAAGATGAAAGGCATTATCAACATTCAAGGAAATAAAAAGGGCAATTATTACCAGTCTTCTAAGTAAATTTGTGTTGCATAAAACTCACTATTTTTTCTCATGCAAAGACCTTTCAGATCACAATGTGTGTTATTCTTCATTGTCATAGATGGCTGTAATATTTTATGTAAGATGTTCTCTTTCTGATTGTGCCAGACTAAATTTATTACCACAGAGAATGGCTGTGGCATGTTCTTGAGACACAATCCTCAGAGACCAAAAAGAATACAACAAGATGTCTCTAAGGAGGAAAGTAATTTTCTCCAGTCTGCAATCTTTTTGTATAATTTGTAATTGATGGAATGGCAAAGCAAAGCAATGCAAAGAGAATTAATAGCTATATAAACCCCTTTTCCCAGTTCCAACAGACCTCACCTCTGAGGATGCTTGCCATAGATGCAGGTGAAACGTCAGGAGAAATGCCTCTAGAACATGGCCATATAGCCCGAAAAAAACCACAAGAACTTAGAATTAATAGAGTTTCAAAGGCTTTGGGAAGTGATGAAAATGTATGTTTTTTCATTTTTTCACAAAAGATTCATCTAATAATACACAGTTGAAGCCATTTTAACATCTTAAATTGGAGGCAGAAGATAAAGTGCTGTTATTTGACATCCAGACATTCAGAAAGCAGTTGCACATTGAGCACTTTCTCAAGAATTTTCTACTACTGTGAGTCACAAAAGTGTGCTTTGAAAGTAAAAGACTACAAGAAGATGGCATAGTAGGAGCATAAACCTGGATGAATGTTCATTGTTCACTTTGTGAATTTGTCTCCCTTAAGATAACAATTTCATGAACATTATTATTTTACCCAGGTTCCCATAAAATTATGTGCCCACATAGGACCTCTTCACACAACCCAAGGGGGGCATACTGTTGTGTCATCAGTCGCTGGTGAAAGGGAAGGTGCACAGGATGTCTTGTGGTGCCCTGTGTGTCCTCCTTCCTTCCCCCATCATATGGTGGGGATGGAACAGAAGGGGAGGAAAGTGTGGGTAGCTCCATTGGAGCTACACAAAAAAACACTCCCTGTGGTGAAGGAGGAAGTGCCTTCCCATTCCAAAATAGGAACCCCAGCAATTTGTCCCAGAAGCACTTTATTAGAGACTTAAGATTGTCTGCACATTGCACTTACCCTAAATCCTTATATTCCACCTGTCATACCCAGCACTTTTTAATCTGTACCCATTGCATTTGGCCCGGCCCTAGTTTTTATTGTGTTATGGTGTATTGATTTATTGTTTACTGTTTCTGCTTTAATGTTTCTGATTTGCTTTATGATTTATGTGTATTTGTTATATTGTTGGCCTTGGCCTTTGTAAGCCGCATCGAGTCCTTCGGGAGATGTTAGCGGGGTACAAATAAAGATAATAATAATAATAATAATAATAATAATAATAATAATAATAAATAACAACAATAATAATACTTCCCCTGCAAAGTATCATCTGATGGCGCAATGGTGGTCACTGTCCAGGCCCCAGCCAAAAGCGACAAAATGGAACTATTTAGCCCCATGTGAAAAGGTCCATAGAGATGCATGGAGCCTACATACTTTAAAAATCTGCTTTTCTTATACACAATTTAGTATTTATAACTATTCTCACTATGTTTTTCCCTATCAAGAACCTGACTGCAGTTTGTTTGAAAATCAAACACCTAGATACAATCAAGGGTACCACTTTTCTAGAATGCCATGCAACCAGATGTGTTTCTTTAGTTATTATCATGATAATTTTCAAATTACGTATCAAATGTTTGAATAGGTTGACAAAGATGAGATTTGGATGAGGAGCAAGGAGAAAAATGAAAAAAAAGAACAGGGTGAAGAAGTGATTATTTTGTCTACTGAGGGGTTAATAAGGCTCTTTTAGTATGTCAAGGTTTTTAGGTCTGGATGGTTAGTGCACCTCTCTGCAGCTACCATTCTTGCCTATGTGGATATTGTTGGAGACTCACAGTGCCCCGCATGGCATTGAGATTCTTCATAAACACATTTCCTCCTTTCTCATGCTTTCTCTCCCTATCTCCCCCTCTCTCTCAATTTAGTTTTGTACTCAGCCTCTGTTTCAGCGATGCAGATGCATAAATAGGGTTCTCTGAAGCTGATAAGATTTGAGTGATAAGTTTTAGGGTTGGCATACAGAGTCCAGGCTGCCAGAAAATATGTATTAGATGGTTTAAACTGTTTGTTGTCTCTTGACATTTTGCTGCAAAAAAATGCACACACTATGCAAAATGCAATCAGATAGTCAAATAATGAGTGCAAATATTACTTTGTGTTATCAGACTTGTGGTACATTATAAAAAAAGAAAATGCATTGCCTGACTTACCGGGCAAGGCCTGTTGTGGCAGGGGCACCATCCAACCGGCCATGATGGAGGCAGGGGACTTCTTCCTCCCAGAAGCCCCCTGCATGGTGGAAAATTTTCCCACCACTTAGCCTGCTGGCCAACCAGTGGCTGGCCCTGCCCCACCTGTTGATTGGCCAGGGCTTGCCTCCACCTTCTCCCAGCAGCCCTTAAAGGGCTGCCCTGGGCACCCGGTAGGCAGTGGCCAAGGGGGCACAGAGCAGCACCAATCGAGGGATGGCTACTAAGGAGAAGGCTCGGCAGGGAGGCACCATGGCGACGGGCCGAGTGATGGATAAATGGAAAGCCTAGAAACTCAGAACTTTGGCCTTTAAGTTGTTGGGATTAGCATTAGGGTTAGGGAACCCGCAGCGATGATGGACTCTGGGAGCTTGCAGATTTTCACACCGATCGTGTGGTTTGTTGGTTGCAGGCAACCAGGGTTGGCAGCAAGGGGACCTTTTGGTAGTGTGTGGCATGGGCTCTGGATCTGGTATCCTTCACCCCCCCCCCCAGTGGAAGGAGGGAATGTATTTTGGTTCCCAAGGGTGCTGAGTATTACAGCCCGGGTATTGGGCCGGTGGCACCTGGACGTATTTAGCGGTATCAGTCAACAGCAGGCTGACCTATCTTAATCCAGAACCCATGCCTGGCAGCTAACCCTGGGTTCCTGTAATCAATAAACAAGTTGTGGCCATTTTCTTCCCAACTCGGTGTTGTGTCATCTTTGGCCTGTTGGCGGGAGGAGTGTCACCCATTCATACGCCAATGCTTCAGTAAGGTGCTTGCAGAGAATCTGGCTTGTTACACACGTGCTATTTTACAAAAAGATGACACAGACTGTTTTCTTCATGCAAAGCAGATTTCCTACATTTAATTGCCAGTGGAGAGATAGAAAGGATTCAGTGATCCTGCAGCACATGAAATTTTCTACATATGTCCAAACACATTCAAAATGTTAGAATTTAGAAATCTCTATTACTTGCCTTGCTGATCACTCTTTGTAACTAGTTGTGAATAGCTATAGATCCATGTTCTCTAGCTGAAATAAAAAACATTTCCTAGAGCTCTTTTGGTAACATATGTCTTTATAAGTGGACTTGTGTCTGCAAGAATTGTAGCTTTGTGATCTACATATCTAATAGGGGACTCCTGTTATGTTACTATATAGGTGAGCTAACAAAGAAATCAATACATTCCAGGATGCATGTACAATAGAAATGACACACAATGGGACCTATGAGCATTACACTCAATAAGCATTGTGATAATTGTGAATCAGGACATTAATTTGGAAGTGCCAATGTTTATCAGTACAGCCTAATGGATGTTGGGAAGGTTTTGCTGGTCTCATGTTATTCATATTCACAATTGTTAGCTCTACTGATATATGACTAAGTATACATAAAGTTACATAACATACATAGTGACAGAGGACTCCAGCCACCATTTGATTGTTGTTGAAATTTTAAAATAAAAAAAAATGAGGATATTGAAGGGTAGAAGAACAGTATACATTTTGGGAAAAGCAGGGAGTTGAAAAATTGATATTCAAGTCATTCACAAAATTTAATTCAACAAGTTTGTAGAGTTACAATTGCTATCAGGACAATTTCAATATTCTGAAGTAGAAAGCATAATGGTATTTGTATTTCATCTGGAAATAATCCACATTGGTACTAAACAATTTTAAAACAGAGAAAATTATTTTGCTGACATAACAAAACATATGCCCAGGACAAGTAGACAAAATTTATTAAATATTTCTAGTTGGTATCGTTGGATTACAGAAAGAGTGATCGCAGTCTTTAGCCAATTTATTTACTTCCAAGCAGCTTGTTTGCTTGCTCCAAATAAACAGGCAAAAAACACCATATGAGATATACTTAAAGAAGTCAAAACATTAAAGCTTTGTTGAAAGATGATCTCATTGTCAAAAGTCTTGAAAGGGCAAGCTTAATCTCCTTGTTTCTCAGGCTATAGATCAAAGGATTCAACATGGGTGGTAGAATAGAATACATTATAGTAACCAGAAGTTCCAGTGGAGGAGACATGCTAGAAGTAGGCCTTAGGTAAGCAAGGCATACAGTCAATGAAAACATGGAGACAACAATGAGATGGGGTATGCAAGTAGAAAAAGCCTTTTTCCTCCCTTGAAGAGAAGGAATTTTGAGAACAGCACTGAAGATTTGCACATAGGTTATAATCATAAAGATAAAGCAGCCAGTCCAGACTACCAAACTAAGCAAAATAGCTCCCATTTCAATGTGGTATGAATCAGAGCAAGCAAGCTTAAGTAACTGTGGGATTTCACAGAAGAACTGATTGACAACATTAGAACAGAAAGGGGTTACAAAAGTTCCACCAGCGTGCAATATAGCATTGAGAATAGCAGCAAACCAAACAGCAGTTACAATTTGTATGCAAGCTGTCCTGCTCATTAGCATTTCATATTGCAGTGGCTTGCAAATAGCAACATACCGATCATATGCCATGACTGTGAGAAGAGCAAGATCAGATCCTGCAAAGAAGATAAATAAAAGAACTTGAACCACACACCCAGTGTAAGAGATATGTCTGTGATTCATAAGGGAATTGATGATGTATTTGGGGATGGTCACTGACACAGAGCCTAAGTCCTGAATGGCCAGATTCATCAGAAAAAAATATAAAGGGACGTGAAGATGCCGGTCCAAAACTACTGCCATGATGATGACAAGATTCCCTGCTACAGTGATAAGGTACAAGACCAGGAAAAGGATGAAGTGTAGAATCTGCAGTTCCCGGATTGCTGAGAACTCAAGGAGCACAAATTCAGAGACAGAAGATTGATTGTCCATTTTTACCACTCAGTCATGTTTTTACTAGTAAAAGAGAAAATAAACGCATCAGTTAAAATGTGACCTTTTCAATTCAGCTCAGTAAGGTTAGAAACAGTGATGTGGCAAAGAGTATCAAATCTTGGATCAAAGCAGAATTACAACTTGTAAAATTAGTATAGCCACTTGCAGTCCCCAAGTTATGAAAATATAGTTTCTGTAGGGTTGTTCTTAAGTTAAATTTGTATTTGAGTCAGAAGAAGTACATTTTAAAGTATAATTCCAGCCAAAGATAGAGATAAAGAAATCTTTGTACCTGTTTTTACATGTTGTACACCGCCGTGAGTCGCCCTAGGGCTGAGAACGGCGGTCTACAAGTGCAGTAAATAAATAAATAAATAAATAAATAAATAAATAAATAAAACAACACCCCTGTTGTGTTTCTTTTGCTGTCTGTACCCCTGTTCAGAAGAGTTCACCTCAGGGCCCTTCTGCACAGCCATATAACCCATATATATCGAGGCAAATAATCCACAATGTTTGCTTTGAAGTGGATTATCTGAGTCAACACTGTCATATAATCCAGTCCAATGTAGATTTTAAACAGCTGTGTGGAAGGGGTCTCACTTTCAGTCCCTTTGAAAATTCGGCTTGTTGAAACAAGGATTGGCGAGAAACCTTCAGTTAAGACCTTTTCCCATAAAATTCTTTCAGAAATGAATTTCCCTTCCAAGGGGTAGATTTTTCTCACTTCCTGTGTCTCATCCTTGTTCTTAACTTTGAGTCATTTGTAAGTCAGATGTTTGTAATTCAGGGACTGCCTGTACTACCAATACTTATCATCCATCTGCTAATACTATCAATGTGAAGTAGCAAACACACCATACATCTTACTTATATTTAGATCCTTTGTGACATAAAGTTTCACTATAGCAACCTAAATTCAAAGAGCTTTCAAACAAATTTTTAATATGGTCGGTCAGTGAAAATACTGCGCTTTGGCACCACGAGATGCAGAGCCAACCTTCAGAAATGGGGCTACAAAGTGGAATCCTCGGCATGCGAGTGTGGAGAAAAGCAAACCACTGACCACCTGCTGCAATGCAACCTGAGCCCTGCTACATGCACCATGGAGGACCTTCTTGCAGCAACACCGGAAGCACTCCACGTGGCCAGATACTGGTCAAAGGACATTTAACCAACTACCAAACTCACAAGATGTGTATTTTTCTGTCTGTTTGCTTTGTTCTGTTAGAAATGTAATATATAATGGACTGGTTGCTCTGACACGACAAATAAATAGTGAAAATACTACATTTGAGCAGCTGAAGCCAGGATTCCTTGTCCTAATAGCTTATGTTGGATAGGGCAAAAGAGTCCCTTATATAAAGCAAGTTGGAGTAATTGAAAACTGAAGACATTGTTTAAACAAGGCTTCTTAAATTTTATACACTTGTGACACCTTTCTGTCTGAGAAATTTTAACATGATTTCGGGTATGTAGATATATATAATAGGTATAAAAGTCAAACATTTACTGATAATAAATGAGCGTTTGCAGGGCTTGCTAACAGGCTGATTTTCCTTTTTATGAGGTATAGCTGAAGCATTTTTTTATTTTTTTTGCAGAATCCACTGCAAACTGTAAATGTCTCAAACAGCCATTGGGTGCCATTCAGAAACCTGTTCAGATATCAACCATCACATCAATGCCTTAAATCAAAAATAGCTTTCTAGGATCTACAGAGATACTCACAAGAACACCTTAGCAAGCGAGAGTCCAAATGTGGCAGGTAAAACCTTGAAGGCGCAGGTTCGCAGCTTGGGTGTGATCCTGGATTCATCGTTGAGCCTGGATCCCCAGGTTTCAGCGGTGACCAGGGGAGCATTTGCACAGCTCAGGCTCGTGCGCCAGCTGCGCCCGTACCTCGGGAAGTCTGACTTGGCCACGGTAGTACACGCTCTGGTCACATCCCGCCTTGACTACTGCAACGCTCTCTACGTGGGGCTGCCCTTGAAGACGGCCCGGAAGCTCCAGCTAGTCCAGCGCGCGGCAGCCATGTTACTAACAGGAGCGGGACGCAGGGAGCATACAACGCCCTTGTTGTTCCAGCTCCACTGGCTGCCGATCTGCTACCGGGCCCAATTCAAGGTGCTGGTGTTGGCCTACAAAGCCCTAAACGGTTCCGGCCCAAAATACCTGTCTGACCGCATCTCGGCCTATGAGCCCACGAGGACCTTGAGATCGTCTGGGGAGGCCCTTCTCTCGATCCCGCCTGCCTCACAGGCACGCCTGGCGGGGACGAGGGATAGGGCCTTCTCGGTGGTGGCCCCCCGGCTGTGGAACACCCTCCCTGTAGACATCAGACAGGCGCCCTCCCTTATGACATTCCGCAAGAGACTAAAGACGTGGTTGTTTGAGAAGGCGTTTGACTAAGTGCTACAACAATTGGCAATGATGATTGGAACGGAATATGGATAACGAGATTGGATTGTGATTCTATGATGAGACGTCGCGAATGATTTAGTGTAATTGTATTATTGATAGTGATGTTGTTATTGTTGTTTGTGATATTGCCTTTATTGTAAATTGTTTTTATATGTTGTACACCGCCGTGAGTCGCCCTAGGGCTGAGAACGGTGGTCTACAAGTGCAGTAAATAAATAAATAAATAAAACCCAGAACCTCAACCCATGACTGATACCAAATGAGAGACTCCCCTGGGCACACAGAAGACTGGCGATTGGAAGGCGCTGAACAGACTGCGCTCTGGCACCACGAGATGCAGAGCCAACTTAAGAAATGGGGCCACAAGTGGAGTCCACAACATGTGAGTATGGAGAAGAGCAAACCACAGACCACCTATTACAATGCAATCTTGAACTCTGCCACATGCACAATGGAGGACCTTCTTATAAGAACATCAGAGGCACTCCAAGTGACCAGCTATTGGTCAAATGACATTTAGTATTATGCCAAGTTTTTACAACTGTACCCTTGGTTCGCTTCTGAAACAATAAATAAATATAAACCTTTTACTGTTGCCAAATTTTTCCTGACCCCCATTTTCTATTATTGGGCCCCATTTGGGGCCAGGACTCATAGTTCAAAAAGCACTGACTTATCCTATGCCAATTAAAATGTCCCAAAAAGTTGATATCTAGGTTTCTCTAAAAAACTTTTGACTAATATCAGTAAATCTGGATATTGAAATTACCAACTAGA